TCTATTAAAAAAATGCGTAGTAGGTATAACATTTTCCGTGGGTCGATACAAAGACTGAAACCAATCAAACACAATGGCGATATAAATACATATAAAATAGTTAGATATGCAGTGGACTTTGTATATACAAGCCTACTAATACCATACATGTTGATTTTCAATTTACTATGCTAAATAGTTCCGTTCTTTAATCTTTAGTAATCGGATGAGTCTATAGATAAGAAGTAACTGCACTAAACTGGGTAGGTAAGAGATAAGATATCAACAGTCAACACCAATCGATTTGTGGAGGCACTTGTATAGGCAGGTACTATATCTAATATTGCAGCTAAAATAAGATTATAACGGATCTTTAGTCAGATTCCGTTACGGGTTTCACTTTCTGTCTCATAATCTATGTGAAAAAAAAAACATTCTATTCCAAAAAATAAAATGATGTTACTAATCATCAATGTCTTTGAAAATTATCAAAAAACCATCAAAAATAAACCTAGCTATGCGGTCCAGTTTTAAACTACAATTATGGTCTAAAATAAGAAATAACGAATTGTAATATCAATAATAACTATTAGGTGACTATTATGTATGAGAAATGCAATGAAGGTCATATTATGTCATGGTTATATTTTTTTTTATACAATTTAGAATGGCAAATAAGCTGACGGTCCACCTGATGGAAAGTGGTAATCGTCGCCTATAGACGAGCAGTACCATGGACATAACAGAGTATACTGTTTCGCTCATGATATCCCCCATGCGTTGCCATTCCTGAGGACTCAGGTGTTATTCCTCCGTCCCCAGTAAATTCACGCCATATCCCACCCTTGAAACCGAAACACAGCCATGCAAACACAACTGCTTTACGGTTATATATTTTTGTATGGTACCCTCAGCGTGTGAATTCAACTAACATCTGTTTGTTTTCTTTTTTATTTGTAGTACTGCGTTTTCTTTCCAAGATTTACTGTCCAATTCTAGTATTCACCAATAGTGCGAAGGAGGCGTCCTTCATTATCCAGAGTTTTAAACTTTTTTTTTCGTACTTCTATGCTGATATTTGATCTGGTTTATTCCACTTTTGAGCAGCTTATGTGTTCTTGGTAGGGTTTGATCGAAGCCGTAACAATATTTTTAGCACTTATTACGTGGGTATTTAATGCTTCTGGTTCATTTATAATATTTTTTTTTATACTCTACACATAACATTCTTATACTATGCTAAACATGTCTAAATATTATGTTTTTTACTGTAAAAAGCCAAATTACGGTAAATCAACGTGGTAAATGTCCAAAAAATAGACATTGAATTAGGACATGTTTAGTGCGTGGAGCTCGTACTTGTGATCCGAAAGGTAGGTTAGGTTGGGTTTGGTTTGATGAATGCTCTAAATTTTTTTTAAAATTCTTGCATTTAGTACCACACGTTGGTAAATCCTAAGATTTACTGGTAAAATATAAGATTAACATATACATATCAATCAGAATTCGAAGACTGTAGGTTACCATTAGCATACTAGGTACAACTACCAGATAGAGGGGAAAGAGATTACTAGTAATGAGATCTAAAAGTCCCATTGCTAGCAGTATATCTACTCTGTCAGGTCGATCTCCACGTGGTTCCCCTTGGAAACCATAGTGATTAATTCTTATCGAGTTCGCTATGGTGGGCCAACTTATTTGCATTAATTCTCTTCTTGGTGTACCACCAGTGTATATCGACAACGCAGGGAGAGTCACCATTCCATTTTCACCCATTAAAAAAACAACCAGATAGATCCTGAAGTATAGAATACAAGGAACAGAGTTTTTAAAGATTTGAGTAGATTGTACAATATATTTTGACTGAGAAGTCGAAAAGTATTAATTTGGAAACAATGTATCCAGGTATATATATCTCCTATAGCTAATCCAGTACAGTATGTATTGGGTTGGTTGGCAGAGATTTCTGTCAGAGGTAAGTTCACTCTTACTCACAATATTATAAATATTGTGAGTAAGAGTTATATAGAGACTTATATTTTATTTACATTACTTACAGCACACAAATTACAATACAAACATACACATAATACACACTAAAAGAGATAATAGGATGAAAAATAAAAATAAAAGCAAAAAAAAAAAAAAAAACAAAAAGACGGATGTTGACTACTTCAAAAGATACATATGTATTCTCAGACATGTTTTTTGCTTCGCTCACATCCTGGGGTGGGAAATTGGGCATGCTCTAACCGTGATTGAGCATAGGCTCATGATCGTGGCGCTTGTTTTTCAAAAGTTAAAGCACAATACCTCCTCTGCCCCCCCCCCCCCCTTATAGATACTTCCATACCTATGCTTATCCTATAAATAATGCATCCTGATGATAAAATCGTATAATAGGAAATCAATGAATTATACAATTATGATTCTTATGTACTATAACTTTATATAATTATAAACTATGCGAACTTTGTTATAATGAGATATTATCGTAAAGTCCATATAAAGGCAATGTAGAATGTATTTGTGACATATACCTATTTAGTAGGGCGTAGGGTGTCTAATTTATAATTATTTAACAATAGTAAAACAAAAACCAGGTGCACGAGGCTAGCCTTAGTTTATTTGGTAAGTCCTTGACAGTGCCCCTTCTGACAACGACAAAGTAAATGCCTGACGCCTTTTTGACGAGGAAAAGAAACAAGGTTAAGATGTTAAATGTTGAAATGTCTCTATTAGATATTTGACCCTTTTAGAGCTCGACGCTTTCTTTGGTCATGATCTTCAGGGCGACTCTCAATTGTATTGATAGTGGCATTGTGACTCGGTTATTAGTCTTGGAATGTTATTAGTATGTCTGTTGTTATTTGTGTGCTGTAAGTAATGCAAATAAATTATCTATCTATTAATAATGCTTTTTGGTTTTGGAAGGAATAGACGAATTAGGACCCAGTGCAGCTTTTGGCATAATTAGTATTTTTATCTTAGTTAAATTAAGTAATCTACGCCTAAACACTAAGAATAAAATATTTTATACGTTGTGAAAGTGCCATTGCACTTTTACGACATCTGGTAGGTATACCTACATCATTCACAAGTAGCAAGTGTATATGTAATATTTTTGTAGCTTACTTTGTTATTGTTACGTTGTGTGTTGATATGTCACTTAGATAATAGAAATGTAGTTCATTTTCATTATAATATAATTTTTATCCCGTAAGTCTATTGGTTTTATTAGGTCCTATTTTATACTATTGAAAAAAGGAAGCTATTCCCTATCAGTTAGATCCTCGCAGTTTTCCTTTGGAAACTATTGTGGTTCCTGCTAAATTCGTCTCGATCGTGTAACTGATTTGACGTCATTTTCATTTATCATCACTCACCGCCACCCCGCTAATGTATACAAATAGCGCAGGCGAGGTCATCATTCCATTATCTTGCGATATTACTAATATAATAAAATTGTAATTAGGTGATGTTTGAGCATTGAACATTATTTAAGAAAAATTTATATGAGGAATCTTAATAAGAGCAACAGAAATTTAAAACATTTTTTTTTATTTCTGATCTCTGCTTGTTCTCTCATCAGGAAAAAACTACTGCATCAAATTCTATGCGATTTTCATAATTGTATTTTTTAATGTCCGATTGGAAATCCGGTATATATTTTATCTCGATACGTCATACAGAAGTGGTTACCTACATACAAAAACCATGCGACTTGAATGTATACAAGTCGCAGATAAAAGCTAGTTACTCATAAAAAAGAAAGGTTTAAGTCTATTTCCTCACTAAACAATTTAGGTATGTATATTTAGAAGTCGAACGTGCTTGGCGTTAGTGGATCATGCTAGGGATTTTATTATACACATTGAAATTTTAAGAAATCCGCAAACTATGCACGTGCAAGATAATACTGATAATAAAATTCTTTATTGCGCACTAAAGAGAATAATATTTTTAAAAACTGTGTCATTCAAAAGCAGCCTCATCTAAAATTAAGCAGGATGTAAACAAGAAACTAAAATCAATTTGTAAAAAACTGTACTTAATTAAATAATCTTATTTATGTTGATATAGGTTTTTTTTAGTACATGATAATGAAATGTCACCAGTAAGAGATGATAGGTGAGAATGAAAGCAGATCAGTTAGCTCGTTGTGATGAATACACCTCGAATTCCGCACGATGGTTTTCAGGGGGGACCACGTGGAGGTCGACCTGACAATATATTGCTAGGAATGGGACTGGTAGTCCGCATTATTAATAATCCCTTCCTCTTATATTGATACAGGTAGGTGGCAGTGTCGTTAATATATTTTTTTAATAGGATTTTTTAATGGAATGATATGTCCACCATGCCTACGTTTTTGGTGTACAGTGGTGGAATATCAGTGAATAATGATAGATGAGAATAAACTCAGGTCAGTTGGCCTTATGTGATGAATTCTCCAGGAGGTTACCGCAATGGTGAACAATATCTTGAGAAGCTGGAAGGAGATTGTTAGTGATGGTGTCTCATAGTGCCCTTACTAGTATACCTTATCAGGTCGATTTCCACGCGGTGTCCCCTGGAAACCATTGTGGTTAAATTCTTTTGAAATTCGTTACGATTAGCTAACTGGCCTTCATTCATTTTTACCTATAATCTGTCACTAGTGCCCCGCTAGCGTATACCGATACTGCAGGCAGAGTATTGTATTACTCGTGCAGGCAGGATATACTATTCAATTCTCACCTGTTAAAAAAAGTACATTATACAAAGTTCCGCTAGTTACTCGGTAATCAATGAATAATAAATACCTTACAAAGATGTTTTGGACATTAATTATCGATAGAATTTTATTCAGCGATTATCGATAGGTACAATTAAAACATCGCAGGACAATACATGAGTAGAGTACGTTTTTAACGTATCTACATGTTTTATGGATCCGGCGTTCCTAAGCATATCCGCTGATAATGAATACATGTATGTTTAATTCTATAATGTTGCTTCGCGTTATCTGTCGTCGCGTACTCGGTGGTTTAGCTTATGAGTCGGCTGTGAGTTGGTGTTGATCGCATTTAAATGTCGGCCGCGGACGAGCGTGGTCAACTGCGGAACAAATGATTCGGTGTCGTGAGAGTTTCATACCTACGCAGATTGTGATCGCGTGAAGCTTACGATTTTAGTTAGCGCATCTTGTTCTAGTATGTCCTGTAAATATATCGCGCCATATTTAATAATTAACGAATGTGATAAACGGGGCCTATTTTAATTGTAGCAGTAATAGTACTTTAAGTAAGGGGACAAGCCTATTGTTTTTGTGGTACAAGAAGTGTGTGATATATATTATTTTAATACTTGTTTCAAAAAGGTTAGTATCTAGTATTAAATAATGTAATATTTGTATTTTACATTATTACACAGCTGTATGACTTAATTTATTATGTAGTTATCATATATTTACTAGCTGAAGCCGGTAAACGTTGTTTCATCTTCTACTGTCATCTACCGAATCTGTTTTTTATCAAATTAGGATTAAGTATAACCTACTCTTATCTCTCAAGTTGAAACAAAATATACAATTACAAAATTTCACTAAATATCATTTAAGCGATTTCGGAAATTAACTTGAACAAATATTTTGACATGGGACTTTTATTAGGTATTACTAATATAAAAAAATATAGAATGGAGGTATTGGAATCTTTTGGAAAGTGAAAGTTGAGTCTACCTACCCTACCTACATATCATGTTATTTGTTTAGAAAGTGAGCATTACGAAACAAACATCATCAATATGGTTAGTTTTGGAAGTTTATTTTCGTTAAAATTTAGCTTTGACTTTTTTTTTGTATTGGAATATGTGTGATATGTTAACTATTGGTAATATTGTTATATATTTGACGACCAGTTTTGGTGAGAATAGTAGAATAAGGTCAATGTGCCGGTTCGCCGACCATCGATGGTTCTCGGACATTTTCACTAAAAACTGTAATAATAGTATTTCTAGGCAGACGTTGTTATTTATAATAGAAATATTGATATATCCCACACTACTGTATGTAATTTGATGACCATTAACAATGTTGATAATGATTTACAAGCTAAAGAAATTTAGCCCATGCGCATGCACTTAAAACATCCTAAAAACTACTGAGAAGGTATTTATTTAGTCATTAATAAAAAACGTTTCTTTTAAGTTTCTCAACTGAATGTTATAATCGGAGCATCCAGATATGATTGAATTTCACAATAAATTAATATTTTAGTAATAATTCTATAGTTTTATTAAAATAGTAGATAATTGTATAACTAATAGACGAAAATAGGGTTTATGTGAGCCTACAGAAAAATGATTAACAATAATGTCTAGGGGAACCGCGTGGAGGTCGACCTGTTAGGTCGTAATAAAAACTAAAAATATATTTTTAGCAATAGGGCTGTTAAATCCTTATTATTAATATTCTTTTTCACTCCAGTATAAGAAAATTAGGAATATTTAAATGACATTAGGTCCTACTAATACTTATATATTATTGATTAAAAGTTACATTTGACATTGAACAATGTGGCAGATTGTTATGTATACCTAGTTATTACTATTTGACGTTAGGTTGATAAATATTTTGATGACGCGGTTGGGATCTTTAAAAAAAAACACGCAAATGACAACAACAAGATTGATATATTTTTATTATTTTCTAATCTACATAATATTTGCTAATTAGTGTTAGTAGTTCTAAAAATTATAATATAATATTTTAAAAATTTGATGCGATCGTATTGGTATTGGTTCTAAATATATTATTATTAAGATTCTTCTATCGAGTACTTTACAGAATTTTATTGATGAGTGTTATTGAGTTGTACTTTAATGAAACAGTAAAATATTTTCATACAAAACATTGTTTTATATTTAGAGTTGTTGTTATCCATGCACTTTCGTATTCAACAATATGGCAATGTAAAAACTGGCGAGAATGTCAGTTATCCATTAATAAGCTTCCGTCATTATTTTAAGGTATTATATTTATTTCATCTTTCATATTTTTCTCTATAAGTTATTGTAACAATGAGTTACTTATTTTTTTTTTTTTTATTAATACATATATATCAAAATACATTTATGTGTTTTGGTTGGGCTAATTTTTTATAATAATATTGACCTTAATGACATTACGCTTGTTGTGATATGTACGTTGTTTTTTTAGTTTCTTTTCTTTGGAAAATATGACAATACAAACAACACAAATAATTTCTAATTATAGGACAAACTCAATATTTTTTTCTTTTTCTTTCGGTTAATTATTAATAAGTATGATGCGTGCAATGTGATTTAATATCGAAACTACAGAAAAAACGTCAACAAATAACAGTAGCTATCTATCCGAGAGAGTTACGTACAAAATTATATAATCTTACGTATCACGTGGAAATAACGAATCCTCGTCACATTAACTGTGTGGACGTCATTTCTTAGTCATTGAGTTATCCCTCTCAGATGAGAGTTAGAGATCAGTCTCTTCGTCCATCTAAACTATGGCCAAACACAGTGTCTTGAGTCACTCTTGTTATTATTAAGTATTATCTTTACTTATCTTTTTCACAATATAAATAAATGTCAGTAAGTACTCGTAATAACAAATTATTGTACTTCGGACCCGTCCGTGGCACGCCTTGTGGTCACATTATTTTGTTGCATATTGCCTAGATAGTTATAATAACATTTATCATGTTATTATAAACATAATGTAAACTCATTACATTATGCTTTACATTTCTATGATTTTAACAATCTAGAATAAATAAGGTAATTTTGTACGTTTCATTTTATTGGTTACGAATGTAGTTTCGCGTACAATATCGATCGGGATATTTTTTTTAAGAATCCCTATGTACAAACATCGCCTAGCTACAATTTTATTATAATGTAGTTATAGATAAATTTATGGTTATACATTTATTTAGATGCAATATTATATATTGAGAACACTAAAGCTCTGAGGTCAAATCACGTGAGTCTAAGTTTATTTCAACGGAAGATAATGAAATGGTAAGCCCGCTAATTTTATCGGTATTCACTGGCGGGGCACTAATGAGTGATGATAGGTTTGGATGAAAGCAGGTCAGTTAGCCCATCCTGACGAATTCAACAAGATTTAAGCAACGATGGTTTCCAGGAGGAACCGCGTTGAGTTTGACCTGATTTATTTATTATACATTATTAACAATACCTTTCCTCTTGAGCCTAAGTTTTAGGTAAGTAAAGTACCTACAAACTGTCATTTGTAATCTAATCCGTAAATGCAAATTGAGAGCCAAGGTTACATCATTAGATTACAGAACAATGTCCGTGTCTTTTATTATTATTAAGTAAACTCTCATTTGTGATCTGTATAGGTATTGTGTGTATAGGTATATTGTCGACTTAGAATATCGGTGCAATTAATCTACCACAGAGCAGCTAATCACTATTTAATAAGAGTTCGCAGCGGCCTTTATCCACGGTACCTGGAAATTGAAATACATATTACTTTTTCGAATTAAAAACACATTGAAAATTATAAAAAAAGAATCATAAATTAATATTCGTAGTATTGTACCATTGTCTATATATGCTTCAATCTAAAATACAGATGCTGGCAGTTGCTATAAAAAGTCTAGCTATTTCGTAATATAAAATTTTCAAGTTTTACGAAAAACATGTACCATAAAACAAGTAACTATGTTTAATTACTTTTTTGTTCTACTAATATTTTAAATATTTTTTTTTCATAGCTGATTAATGCAAAATCTCTTTGATGCAATAAATCTGCAACTGCATTATAAACAACATCTAAAAAACATGTATTCATTTCTAAAGGATACATACGTATTATATGCATATAAGAGAAATAGCCATATTTACAATTACAATATTACAAATAGGGTTATTTCAAATAAAAACGTCGTTCCAACTATGTTCCAATTGTCACAGGCCTAGCATCTATTTAAATATGGAAAAATATTAATAATAAAAAAAGTGAATTTATTATTTCTTCGAAAAAAGATTATATAAATATAAAGACGCTAAAACAACACAACTTTTCGCAATAACTTATGATAAATTTTCCATACTGTTATATTATTTGATTAGGTATTATTATTTGTCTAATATTCATGATTATTTTTTTTAAGTTATTTAACGGCGTACTTTTTATAATAGCAATTTTATTATTACTTTTAAATCTCTAATATAATTATGAAATAACATATTGATTACCTACTTTATTAAACATTGCAAAGGTTTACATAATTGAGCCGTATTCTCGTTTGCTCCTTGTGTTATAAAAATAAGCCCAAAACTAAAAGTCGGGCCGGTTACCTTCTCTGTGGTTCTCCCTGGAAACCATCGTGCTAAATTCCAGGTGTATATATTGCGATGGGATAACTGACCTGCTTTCATGCTCATCTATCGTCCTCCACGGGTGCCTCGCCAGCATATTCGGATAATGCAGGCGGGGTTACTATTTCATTGTCATCCGTTATGACATGATCTTCATCCTATGCTCGAGTACCTAAGTAGAAAATTCGACTTATTTAAGAACTTTTTGGTTTGTTTAATGTTATTATAAATTAGATTAAATAAACAACATGAAGTGTCTCAGAAAAAAAGTCTACGACAGATTGACAATTAATAAGCTGCGATGGACTACAAAAAGTGACATTCATTAATATAAAACGTAGGTATATAATGATAACAAGTAATAATTACCCAATACTAAATAACAATAGGGCGATATAGAAAATAAAAGATATTTTAAAATTACATTTGCTTGTTTTATATTTAATTTAATGAATTATATTGATAATATGTTACCAAAATTTATTGAAAGATAGAAAAACCACTGGGAATGGAAAATAATTACTGTTGTTATTGTTCTACACTATCATATTTTGCATAATTACTTTCTGATATCATCGTTTTGTTTATTTTTGCGTCTTCATTATCTACCTACTAATTAACCCTTGGCAAGCTCCGGGTTCGGTAAGTAATAGTTGAAGGTTACCATTATAATCCATATTAAAGGATTGTTTTTAGGTACTTAATGTGTATAATAAAATAATACTTAATTATGTAATTATATTAAGACTTAATAATCTTATATGTTGATAAATTATTGTAATGTAAATATTATATTTTATAAATTGTTTTTATTATGGATAGATACAGTGAAAGCGTGATGCTATTTATGTATCCTACTTAATTAATAGTGTACTAATTAAAAAACAAAAGGTCAGGAACAAGCTTGTAGTACATTATTTATTTAACTACTATTACTAATTATTAAGTCTATGGGAACAGTGAGTCTACCATGAAATGAAATTCCGAAATTTCGGACTCAATTTCGTGTTTTTGTTTATACCAAAATCGGACCAATAAATGGAGTTTAACATTTCGTTCGTCATACATTCTATCATAAAAGTCCAAAGAAACAATATTTTAACATTTTTAATATTTCCAAACGGCTTGTATTATGTAATTTTAACAGTAAATTTGTGTTTCGTTTGGCTCTGAAATTTCGGAAAACATTTCATGGACTACCATGAAATGTTTTTCCGAAATTTCAGAAGCCAATATTTGTATGTTCCTCTGGCCAATATTTATATTTCGTAACTTTTTATTAAAAATAAAAGATTACGAAATTCTTACGAATAATTTAATTCTTCAATACAATTTCTCCCATATACTGAGTAATAAATTTAAAATATGGTAATTCTATTCACGCACACATGCATAAAAAAGTGAACTGTTTCTGGTGAAACATTTGTATGGAGACATTTAATCTATATTTTTTTTATGCAATTTAGAATGGCAAACAAGCTGACGGCCCACCTGATGTAAAGTGATAACCATCACATATAGACTTGTAGCACGGACATGACAGTAAACTGTTTCGCCCATGATACCCCCATGCGTTGCTATTCCTGATGACTAAGCTATTATGATTATTGTGTAAATTCATTGCCATATCCCACCCTCCAAACTGAAACACAGCCATGCAAACAAAACTGTTTCACGATGGAAACTCGAATGGGACGGAGGTACCCAAGTCAAGGAAAACCGATTTTTATAATAAATATAAAAAATCCGATTTTTTTTATATATATCCGATATATAGCAGATACATATCCCCGCTAAGAAAAGGAAGCGAATTTCATTCTGTAAGGAGAATACACGATTAAAAATGTGAAAGGAATTTGTAAAATAAAATAAGTATCAAATTATTATTACATTTATTATTTAAAAAAACTTTTAACAAGTAACAAAAGAATTACTTAGTGTTTATTTGAAAATATTTTTTTAATGAACAATTAAAAAAAAATAAGTACCTATTATTATAATAATATTATTTTTTTTATGAGGTTGCCATTTTGGGAAACAATCAAAATTATTCTGAATTGTAATTTTTCGCTACGTGTTGCTAGGGTAAACATTAATCTCCAAAATTTTTAGTTCAGAACAAACAGACAGGAAAAAATCAATTGATATTTATCAAGATAAAAATCAATTGATATATATACAAGTCGAAATTTAGCTGTAATCATTTAGTAATTTGACTAAGACTACTACACTGTACGTATTGAAAATTGTTTAACAAATCATGTTATGTTGGTGCAATAAAGTGTTAAATAAATAAAAAAATAAATAAATAAGACGGCATCTATAAGAAACTACGTATCTCTGGCGCAGGTTATATAATATTTCATAGGTAGGGGAAAGGGGGCATGACGGGGTACTTAAGGTTTGAAGTCTAATAAAATTAAGTATGTTCTTCTTTTCTAGTTTTTTTTTTAATTTTATTAATATTAATTGCCCCTAGGTAGGGTAAGATGAAGTACCTCTGAGGCAAGATGGAGTAATAAGATGAATGGGGTGATGGGTACATCGCAGCTGTGCTGGTGAGCTGTCAATTTATGGTTACTGAGAAACTTCACACGTAAATGTCGTTTCCTCATCCTCACGAATTTTAACCAATTATTAAAAAATAATGCCGTAATATGAAAATAAACAAGTCCTCACCTGTTGGCGTGATTGTTAACGCATATGAATAACTATACATACGTATATTGTGCTGGTGCTATTTAGCAACAAACACGTATCAGACAAAACACAAAAATTAATAAGAATATGACAAAACTCAGTTTTTTTTTTTCAATTATATAATGAATGACGCAGTGTCGCTAGCCGGTCACTGCGCAAACTGATTGGAATTATGGCGGTGCATCATCACACGCTAGCAGGATTCTGATTGATCAGTTGTCTCAACGTATAAAGCCGCTACCTCGTCTTGATCCCAACCTCGTCTTGTTCCCCTTTCCCCTATTATCTAATCTATGATCACTGGTTAATACGGTAACCATACATATGAGACATTTATTAGGTAAACTTATTTGACACATTTTATTTAATTTGTGCGTTGACAGACTTAGAAAATAAAGCGATGCATACTTACATAGATTAAGCATAGTGTCTTGACGGTTAGGTATGAGAAATATGTCAGAATAAAAATGTCACTGTGTCTAGTTTAAAGTTTTATAAGGCAACTTTGGATATCGGGCATTTATTTTATGATATGCGGAGTTCGGTTTCAACACAAGTATAAGTCTTTATTTATAAAGTTTAAATTTGGATTTTTATAGAATTTTTGCTAAAAAGATATTACAGAGAACTAGTACCTACTCCCGACAAAATATAAGTATCTTAGCGTCATAATATTAAGATAAATATCCTGGATAATATTCTTATGGTGTAGGCATGGTATGTAATAATATATAGTTTATAAAGATTACAGTCCATACGAATTATATGAAATAATAATTTTTATTTCTAGGTATATATGAAGTCAGTACAAGCATGGCGGCATTTAATGTAGTCAACGTCGTATTAGGATGTGTCATGGCACTTCTTATCATACTATTCACAATCAGCTCTATCGCCAGATATCACATAAAGGTAAGTCTAAAGGACAAATGTATTTATTTCAAGTTTCTCAATAGTTTTGTAAAGTGAGGTTTGTATAACTTATAAAAGTCTTATAAAATGTCAAATGTCTTATAAACCTACTTTAGCTGTTGAACTTGTTTTGTCTCTTTCTTTCGTGCTAAGTGCTTGGTTTGAAATAGAGACTGTAATAGTTAATTTAGATTTATAGGAGGTTTTAGTTTTTATGAATAAAGAGGTTAAGTTTTTACAGAGGTGTTACAGAATAGTTGAATAGCATAGTTCTCTTTATTATGTTGATCAATACGAAAAGGGCTTGCGTAGGCAAATTTTGTTTACTTACATTTCATATAATTTCATAATTATTTAATATAAGATTTTTCACTGGAACTAGATAATATAACAGTTGCTTCAATTTATAATTGTGACCCAAACACGTAATTCATTAATGAAAAATAAATCTCTGTCTTTAAATATAATCACTCAGAATATAAAAATAACGGTAATTATTTTTATAATAATACTTTTATTACTTATCAAGTTAGGTTCAGAGGTTGATGGATATGTTGATGTTTCATGGACCTCATAGTCATCATGTTATATATATATATATATATATATATATATATATATATATATATATATATATATATATATATATATATATATATATATATATATATTGTATTATATAATAATAAGATATATTTAATTTGGTTGACGTTATGAATATATATTATAATACTGAAATGAACGGATAATAGAGCTGGTTGATAATATAGCTACTGTTACTGTACAGTAGATAATAGGACAGTCAACAAAATATTTGTTTTTGGATAGTTTTTTAACATTTTTTTTTCAAACATTAGACACAATTGCTAGAATTTGTGCTATTACCACCTATTACGTTGTATTCCCAAGGTGAATTAGAAGGCATAGGTAATACCTTCTAATTAATGCATGAAATCATTAATTAACTACTTTTTATTTGTTTTAGTTCACACTGTTCGTGGTTTTGTCACTGATATTTGCAACTCTTCCAATTCCTTTGATGCTTTTAAGACCGTTTGATCCAAAGAACGCTTTGTAAGTACCTAAAACTATTTATTTATTTAGTAACTATAGTTTTTATTTTTTTAAAGTTCCAAATAATGAATTTTAAAAATATTGTGTGTTTAGATTATAAATCTAAGGTCGTTTGTATTTGTGTATGTGTGTGTAAAGAGCGTTATATGTGCTAGAAGCTTTTTGTCGCTTCTGGATTTAAATCTGAATTGGAGCACGACAGTGGTGTGTTGGTTTATTTTATGTTTAAATAAACCGCAAGACAGTGAATTATTTGCTCGGTAATTTACGTATTATCTCAATTGTCCATCAAAGATCACAAATACCAAATCAATTCATGGCCAGATTATAGCTCATAACACTCTACGATGATTTACGAAGAAGGTGCACTATACTTTGAAAGTCACGCACCTTTTTATATGAAACAGTAGGACTGTTTAACAAGGTATGTAGGCGCAAGAGTTTTTGCGACATACCTCGGATACATACATCATACAAAAATGCCATGATTTGTGATTGTCACAATTATAGAAAGTTTATATAAAATTATATAAGTTATGTCTGTATATTTGTGTGAATCTGAAGTTATGCTTAGTGCGGGAAGAAGCGCGCACTTCGGTATATTGTAGAATGTGGATTGAAAGTGTGACTTTCAAAAAGCGTAGTATATATTGAAAATAATTAATCGAATTTTTGGAAAATAACAAAGATGTACTTCAGTTAATGCAATCTTTATTATTATTATATCAATATATAAATTAATTAATTATGTACATACTTAATCATAATAAAATTATCGATACGGATCTCAGTATAATTTTTTTTATAATTTATGTGTATTTTAATGAACAGTTTCTCTTGTTTTAATATGCCTTTTGACATTTGTCTTACTTGTCTTAAAGATAATAAAACTTATAAAAACTTATTATAGTTTATTATAAAAATATCCTATATTTATCGTGTGATTCACGTGATTTTATTATTAGATATTAAATTATATACTTCATATGCGACAATTTAATTAGTAATAGTATGATAAACATTCGTGCAACATGTTGCCAGATAATAAATAGATAATGATTGGACCTTGAATATGACTAATTAACATCTAGAGTACTTGAGAAATGTTATTTTATGCAGTAGCATTATTATATATATATATATATAAGTTTAAGGCATACTCGGATAACATATAAAATATAATAATTAACATATGTAGAAAATGTATATAAAGTAAAATAAAATAATATAGTATAACACAGTTATTAGACAAAAATAAAAGAACATTATTTAATATTTTTGTCTCGGTGCACGAATAACCAGTACTTTTGAATGGCGATTGTTCAGACACTGGGACAGTGTGCTGAGGATCTTATTCTTCGAATTCTGAATATAGTCTAGAAATTCGCTACACAATATCTTATTATAGCGAAGTAATCATTCACCCTGGATATATATATGTATGTATGCATGTATACTCATGATTATTATTAAATTTTGCCCTAAAACATTAATTCATAGAATAATTTGCACAGCATTAATTAAATTAATCAGTCACATATTACAAATCGTTGATGGTTATAATATAATATACAGACATATTAGAATTCATTTTTAATTCAAGATTACTTACAGTGATTTAAAGTATAAAAACTGTCAGCCAAATTTACCAACTATTATAGATTATATATTAGTTATATTAGATTGTATATTAGATTATACCTTGTTTTCGTGGAAATTTTTGAAATTTCCTTTATAATTTTCTCCTACATTTTATAAGTAATCCTTGTATAAATTTAAGTAATATTGAACGTCAATAAGAAAAATATTTGCTTAAATAAAAGACTGCATGAAACTTTAAGAATTACGTCGCTTATCACCGCCTTTTAAGATTTTGTGTTAAATCATTGTGTTTTACATTAAAGTCTATCTTTAAATCTATTCAGTTAAGTTAGAATTGTGTGCCGAGCGTACTATATATAAATAAATAACAAAGCATTAGGTGTTATTTACGAGAAATGGGCCATAATGACAATAATTTGTGAATAAGTATACGATTGTCGTTTCTTATGAGTATTATTATGGGATAATGACACGACGATGTTAGAAGTAAAGGATATTTATATAGGTACAATTGACGACAATAAATGATAAATGAAAATGGTTTTATGTAGTAAATAATTAAACTAGCACGTGTAGTGACACAAATTAACGGTTATATCTTATTTAGCAAAGTAACTGCACCGCACGCATTAATATAAATGTTTGCTTATTAAATAAATTATTATTGAATAGATTTTGAAATAATATTGGAGTAAATGATAATAATGAAAAATGACACTATGACAGTGATAATAGATCGTCGTGATTAGGAGATTTTACAAAAAAAAAAAGAACTGGAAGTCTGAAGAAAACATTGTTTTATATATATCTTTTTCTTGAAAAAATTTTGTTACCCCATCAATGATTTTTGTTCAAATGATTAAAATAAATATTCTAATGATAAATAAAATGATATATTATAATAACTTGACATTGTCAATTGTAGATAAATATTTATTGTTCTTTATTATGTCTAATATTCAATTTTATTTAATACTTTTTCATAAAATCATGCACAATTTCTGATACAATGTACATTATTATTTTTATAATAAATGACTAACCACTATTTTTTTTATTGAAATAATTTAAAAAAATTGTGTAATGGTATACATATAAAGATTATAATTATTTTATATCTTATGATAAAATAGAGTATATAAAAAGTAGGTATAAAATAAACAACTTTATTTAATATACTTGCATTGTTAAAACAAATATCTATCTATATACATATATATACAAACCATTGAATGTCAGTCGTCTTTATTCTCTAGTTACATTTGAACTTTGTACCTACGTAGATATTAGGTAAGTGCAATGTATCTGGCTATTCGACATATAAGTCTGACCATTTTATTGACTGGCCATTTGGTCTATTCCGCAATATTATAAACATCGTGCAAAACCGACCTTGGTACTGTCCTTCACTAAAGTCATCACTACAAATAAATAACCAACAGGCGAGTGCGATGATAAACCCACGTGCTTGCCATTTTAATGTATATTTTCAATGTTATCCTTGTTTTCGTCACATGAGTTCACCGATATCGAATATTGAAATAGTGGTATTAGTATTTTAAAGCGTTTTCCGAAAGATTTTCTTTGACTATGTTACGATGCGATTAAAATATCAATTCTGAACCAATTTTTACCATTCTAAATCCAAATACCTATATAAATAAGTAATAACAAACCGACTTCAAAAATGAGAAGATTTTTATTTTTGCTATTGAATTATTCATCGGTGTATATGTGTGTTCAGGATTGACGTAACTTTTTTTATGTAAAACAAAATGTACTTGTTACCTTAATAATTTTCGCCACTTTCCACCATTCAAGGTTGTTTAATAACATGCTCCTCTCAATGGATCGTGATTTTTTACCAATTTTACTTAATTCAACCGATCACATCTAGTTTAATACGACTGTGTATATTAATTGTCAACTACATAACCTACGAAATTAATTTAGAAAACCTGTTATTGGTCATACTACTTTGTTATAAAATGTTTGTTAATTTTATTTGTAAACCGCTGTTGGTTTTTTAAAATAAATAAATAAATTATAGCTGATATTAGTGTGTATATATGGTATATATATTAATCCATCAAATTATATATAATACATATATATAATAAATAACTCAATTTTTTGTCAATTTAGCGCCAATCAGCGAAAGTGTTAAACAGTGAAAAGAAACTTTGGAGAAATTTTCAATGCTTCAAAATAGTGTATAATATTATTCTAATGGAGATAGGTATAATAGTACTATTGATGATATCATATTGCGGATGACTCGAGGTATGAATTAGTTAGTGGTTAAGTATATTTATTTTAGTTGCGTCATGGTAAACATGCCATAGATCTTCTATACGATGAGTATGGACCATAGTCATAGGGCATAATCTCATAATCCCGTGATTGTCTATAATCGACAATTATCAGTTATGCCATTCTATCGACAGCTATCGCGTCCTGAAATTACCTACTTTTTTATTGTATTTTAGTATTTATGTAAGTAATAATAAGGTATTTTATTTATGTCAACGTGACGTATTTTTACAATTAATTTTTCATTTCAATTAATATAACATTTGGTGTAATTATAATAAAAAAAAATATACTATTGTTAAATTGAAACAAGTCCTGATTGTTTGAATTTGCTAAATCGGAACTTCTATACTTAGTTCTGTTTCTGATCTCGTAAGTTAGTGCCAAAAATAAAACACGTAATGCAAATCGTACATTGGAAGAGGTAGTTAAAATATACCTGTGGGAATTTAACATGTTTCAGTTAATTTTCAGTTAACGGTGGGAATGATATCACCTACGTTGATTGGTCGTTTTGTATTGCGTTGTTTAGTTTTGTTTCTGTGATGTTATGGTACAATAATTTTGACCAAATTGAACCAATTTTGATAGTATAGTTTATTCCTCTGTTAGTCCCGCATTAATTTTGTGATGCTTTTTTTATTCCTTTTTAAGTACACACAATTCTGAGATTTAAATTCAAATTTAGATATTATTATTATTATTTTATATTTCATGTGTTTATAGAACAGTTTGTTGTACATTAATGAATGAAGGAATAAAAAAATATTTATGCCTAGCTAGGATAGAATAGCTTGTTAAATCGATTTCAAGGTCCTCCAATTTAATCCTCTACAGGCACAACAAATTCATATTTAATGACTTTACAGAGTATCAGATAACAATTGGTGTATGTAATTTTCCATCAAGGACGATTCTTGTTAGCTTTTCTATGTAAAAATAACATATGTACAGGAAACGTTTGCAGGTGTCCATCGTTTTATTTGACGACCTTGGTCATATGACGAGTAAACACACCGACTTACCTTCCGATAGTTGCAATATTCCCTTGTCGGTTGAACCCATACTAATTTTATTACGATTGTAGGCTCAGTTTTTTGCGTCTGAAATAAAGTCTTTAGAGATATCTTGACCCCTTTTCAAAGATTTTGAAAAATGAAAATAGTATGTTTAATACTAAAATAAATAAATAAAATATATACAAAAATATTTTTATGTTAATCTATTTTTTTTTTGCAGACTATTATTAGATTTCATTTCATAACTCCAGTTAGTCCAATTTATACCTACTTATTAGAAGTGTCAACATTGCCAGAATGTATGAATATGTGAATAATCTAAATTGTTACATACATTAAGGTGACCAACTATACTCATTTACTGAGTAAAAAAGAGTACTCTATAACTCTTTTTTCACAAATCGTACTCTTTTCAAATTCTGTACTCTGAAAGTACTCATTTGTATAATTTTATACTCATTTGTATTTGTAAAACATTTTTTTAGATTATTTTACTTCAATTTTATTAATTAAATATTTAAAATTATTTTGACAGTAATTTGAATTTCATTAGAATTTCAGTAGAACATATCCCACATGAAAATTTAAAAGTTTTAATAGAAATTTCCTTATGTTGTCCAGGCACTAATGCTGCTGTTGAAAGGATATTTTTACTAGGAAATGATTATGGGAGCAGTAAGAAGTCGCAACTTTCTGTAAAAACATTATCTGCCGTCTTAACAGTTAAATTTAATATGCAAAATGAAAGTTTTCGGATGTGGCTACATTATTAGACGAACATCCTCATTTATCAAACAAATCCACTCCGAAGAAAAATATGTTATTTAAAAAAAATAAAGTTTTTATTGTTTTTTCTTCTATTTTTCACCTATGAAATACTTGAAAAGTGTACTCTTTTTGAAAAGTAGTTGGTCATCTTAATACATGTACATTTTAAAATAATAATTTTAATAACAATTTACAATTGCTGAACTGCAAAGTGTTTAAGCATAAAAATATTATTAAAATATAACAATCGTATTCTATAGCCTGTATATAAATCAGTATATATACCTAGTATACTGATTAGATAGTACAACCAAGCATATTGATTCGTAATTAAAAATCACTAAGGAATAAATGTTTATTGATCAATTTATAAATGAATATAATACATTTTGTTCGTCAGAATACCAGCCGCTCTGCTCAGGTTGACTGCTAGAATACTTGGTATCCGGTTTACAGTTCGAGGACTGGAGAACGTGGATAACTCCCGGGGAGCTGTTATTTTATTGAACCATCAAAGTGGAATTGACCTTTATGGTAAGCTATAAACTTATCAAACGTTTATAATAGTTATCTATCTATCTATTTACTTACTGAGTTTAAGTGGACATGATGAAACACGAGATGATATTTATCAATATATTTTTGTCGATGTTTACTTGTCCAAGAATTATATGGTATCTATTTTTTTATATAAATATTTACCTTCTTATTCATAAGAACGTCAAATCTCTCATACATCTGTTTTACCTATTGAACTTAGTCAAAAGAAAGAGACAAAATATTTCAATAGTTAAAATAGGTATATGACAGGTTGGATGTTTATATGAATAAGGGGTTATTCTTTTGGTCGCTTTTTGTGGATGTGTTTTTGTGTGTGATTTTTGTCTATTTTTGTAACACATAGTACTCCTATTCTTAATTAATTAACCATAACTTAATTTCGGCACAACACAGAAATGATTATAAAGATATACATAACAAGGAGTAGGTATTAAGATAATTTGTAATCGCATAAAAACAATATTATATCTGTGTATATATAATATATGGCTATATCCTATTTAAGCTAGAGAAATACCTATTTATCCGTCCGCTTATTATATATAAATACATATATACATATATATTTATTTCAATTAACTCACGTTTTTTTGTTTATTTTATAATTTTATCTGTAGGTATAATTTTCAATTAGTCTATAGACATGATATTTAATTTATATATATGTATATAATATAATAAAAATTGCATTTAAAGTATTAAAAGAGAATACCTATATACAGTATTTTACAAATTAACATTTATTTGCTTACAGACGGATATCCGTCCGATTAATGTAAAGGAGAAATGGTGTAAATTTAAAATTAGAACGGAGTAATCGCTAATTCTTACTACAATTATATAAATGTGAAAGTAGGATTTTTTTTCGTTTATTTTGGGTTTATCGTCGTAGAATTTAACAATACAAGACACACAGCCAGATAAAGAAATAAACAACTTTTTATCACAGTTAGGTGGCTAAAGACGTGGGTAAAAATTACGTAGTAGATATTCTTTCTTTTGTATAGATCTATATGCGTTTCTTATCGATAATATGGTGTTCTTTGGATCCTTTTAAGAGTCTTTCCAATTTAGTCAATGCTTAATTTGAGTATAATATTGATTAATCTTTCAGTGCTAGCGCAATTATGGCCTCTAATGGCGAGATGCACAGTGGTGTCGAAAAAATCACTGCAGTACTTGGTGCCATTCGGGACAGCGGCATGGCTTTGGGGCACAGTGTTTATTGACCGTGGCGCGCTGTCCGCTCGCGAAGCACTCAACAAACAATCCGAGGCTGTCAGAGATCACAAGGTAATTGCACAGAAATTGCTACCATTATACTTGGCTTTCTACGAGTACATAGTGCGCTGTGACCTAAAGGTGAAGATACCAACTGGTAAAAGCAAAATGTCATGCCATGGCTATAGCTGGGGGAGGGGGGAGGGGGTATTGAGGGACAATACCCTATCTTAGAATAAAAGCGCCAAGAAAATTAGACTGATACGCTATTTTGAAGTCACTTAATTGTGGGTTCTGCCCTACTAAAAAGTTCTTTTTTCCTACATTAAACGTGGTAACTACGACTTAGACCAGAGAACTACATCGATTTTGCTTAAATTCAAATATTTGTATCGATTAACATTTTATTTATAGTAATCATTTATATTGGATATACTCATGTTTTATTTAGTATTTAAATTTAGATAAGTATGACACCAAACACAGATTACCTGTAATTTAGGCTCCGCTTTATGAATATAGTTAATAGTCCACGTTTGGAGACTACGTAGCCCATAAATAGTGTAGAGTACAGTGATAGTGATTTATATCGTTTCTAGAGTAATTACAGTGTCTATAGAGCTTATAGTGATAGTATCTTCATAATAGGACAGTCATAGTGTTTACAGTAATCGTACTTCTGTAAAAGAACATTTTTATATATAATAATGTAATAATTCGTATAGTATGTGTGTGTTTGTGTATAGTTCGCCTTAGTACTAGCTATAGTATTATGTTAATATGTTAGTTCATAGTCATAGTGTGTTTATCGTTTGGAATGTTATGTTATAAGACAGAGTTGAATATTTAGTTCTAGATAGGTAACAGACAGTAATGTAATAAGTATGAATAATTAAAACAAAAAAAAATCGTCTTCAATTGTGATAAAACTAGTTACTTTGATCAAAGAATTAAACTACTAAACCGATTTTGATAAAATTACCTTGATATTACCGGGATACCTTGGCAACATCATGGTGATGTTTGTACTTGTAGTCAGAAAGGTAGGTTAGGTTAGGTTTGGTGAAAGCCTGTAAAATGATCTTTTTTTTTAATAAAATCCTTACCATATTACCAATTAAAGTTGGTAAATACTAAGATTTACTAGTGAAACCTAGAAATGGTTTCCTATGGAGACCATTGTGTTGAATTCCAGGTGTATTCGTCACGATGGGTTAACTGACCTGCCTTTAATTCTCGGCTATTATCCCTCACTGGTGCCACGCCAGCGTACACCGTTAGCGCAGACGGGGTCACAATTCTATTCTCATTCGTTAAAAAAAGCCGTCTCAATGTAACAAAGCTGTTCCGGAGCTTAATGTGAACGAAAATGGCACCTCAAAATCGATCCCATTGTGCGTGACACGGGATTTTTATATATTATGATTTATAAACCTACTTTCTCTTAATTTTAAAGTTTCTTTTCTAAAAGTCGCATTTTGAATATATCTTTTCTACACTAAGTAAGATTAAATAAACATCACCGGCTAAAACCAATTACCAACTCTAGCTGTGAAAGGCAAGTGAAAGTGTAAACACGTAACATATTCAGAAATAGATGAGATAGACACCGCAAGTAGATACCTCAGTCTACATTTGCACCCTTCTTAATAAATCATCGAATGTTATTATAAACTGTAAAAAGATTTTATGCATGTCATGGAAGTCATTGACAGCTATCATACAATGTTTTAGAATTAGTACAAAGAATTAATATGGTTGTCACTGCAATCATTGTTTATTTGTATCTATGAACTTGTATTGAATAAATAAAAAAACTGAAATATCATGTAATTTCAATATTAAATTGTGTCGGTGTTTAAAATATAGTTACACTCATTTATTTTTTTTTCCCTGGCAAATGAAACACGAAACGCGATAAGAAATGATTAATTAATAATAATAATAATAACCCCCCCAAGGGATTGAACCTTGACGTGGTGGGGGGGCTTAAGGGAAGCAGGTACAAGTGCTTGGTCAGGACATCTCGACCACATACCCCAATAGGGAAGTACTTATTGACAGAGTCAATAACAACAGGACTATACCCTTCCTACTAATCATCCCAAACACAAAAACCCTTATGGAGCAAAGTGAAAGAAGATATAATTTACGGTCGCTGCCCGGGGGTCGCCGGGGCGCACCTGGAGCCGGTGCTGGGTGCTCCAGTCTACGAACCACCGGTGATGAGACGCTGAACAGGCGGGCTCTCGTCACACAAGATGCTACAGCCGGTCGTTGGGAGTTGAGCAAGCGGGCTCACGACGTTGAAGCTACAGCTGAATCTATAGGCGATGATACCATCTCACTTTTTTCATCTATCCCTTCAACTCGCCCCTCATACATGACACGAAGAACATCTACTGTTTCTTCTTCTAGTACGCTAGATGGTGTTGTGCGAGATGTCATTACAGACTATGAGCTTGCACCCACCTCTGGTCTTAACCGAACGCGCAGGCGATGGACACCTGAAATGAATATTTTTATACTGCGCACTTATCTACAACTAACAACATTACACACCGACACCAAGAATTATCTTGAATCTTTACACTTAAAATTCATAGAAATGTTTCCAAATATGAATGTCAGCCGTCAAAGAGTAGGAGACCAACGTAGAGCAATAGTACGCAATAAATTGTTACCTCAAGAAACAATAAACCAAATTTATGACGATGTAAGAAAAGAATTATCTCACCCTCATCATATTCATCAAAACCGCGAATCTGTAAGAAATATACAAAAAGATACTTCTGAATCACACAACCCACAAACTCAAATTCGTATGAAATGGACAAATGAACAAAATGAGAGCTTAATACGATCCTATTATAGGATAACACAATTGGAAACAAACAAAACAGCTTACCGGAAATCATTACATGAAGCTTTTATTAGAGATTTTCCCACATGTGCTCAATTAAGTGAACAGAGAGTTGCTGACCAAAGACGAGCAATTATACATAATAAGTATATTTCTGACAATAGATTAAATGAAATAAAACAACAAATAGCACAAGAATTGTCAACTAATCTTAATAACTTAAATAATGGTACAAATGAAGCCAACACCGTAAATGAGCCCAACACTGCTAATACTGACAATGAAAATCTAAATAATATAGAATTCAACCTTCTAGAACAAGATCCACTGGCTTCACAGCAAATAGAAAGAGATCCAATAATAGACGAAACTTATCGAAAGGCATTTCAATATTTCAAAGATATAGAGCCTACAAGCAGAAATCACATTCCTAAACAAAAACAATCTAAAAAACTGGCTAAAATAGTACATTATCTAAACGAAGTAACACTGTCTGAAAATATTAATGCAGAGACAGATTTCATCACTTTACAAACTACAATATATTGTGCAGCTTGGACAGCAGCTAAAGTAAATGGAACCAAATTAATACTGGAACCAGTGGAAAGATCCCGGCAAATGAAAACTCATAAGCCGAGTTGGCAACGGCGACTAGAAAAACGCTTAGAAGACTTGCGTACTAAAATAGGTAGATTAATCCAATTCATAAATGGTAATACAAATAGAAAACTAGAAAAACAAATAAAAAACATAGTAGAACAATATAAAACACATTCTGCACACGAGGAATCTAACATGCATCTCACACACACACTTGATACGCTTAAACAGAAACTCGCAGTCGTATCAGGTCGCTTACGAAGGTACAAGGCGTGCACATTAAGAAAGACACAAAATAAACAATTTTACAATAATGAAAAGTATTTCTATAGAAATATTATACAAGCAACGACAAATATACAAGAAAACAGAAATAGTGATAATAAAGGCAATCTACCAGATATGAAGAACCTCCGTGACTTTTGGGCAGGAATTTGGGAAAATCCTGTTGAACACAACATGCAAGCTGACTGGATACAGTCTGAAAATGCAAATAACAACTCATCTATACAAGAAATGACATTTAAGTACATTCCAATGACCACATTTAAAAAAGTACTAAGTAACCTACATAACTGGAAATCAGCAGGTTCAGATTGTATCCACAGTTATTGGTATAAAAAATTTACTAAAACCCATGACCATCTGCTTAAACATATTAATCAATTCATTGAAAATCCGAACACAATCCCAGATTACATCACCCGTGGAATATCTTTTATGATTCTTAAAGACTTTAAAGATCCTGCTAATCCCGCAAAATACAGACCAATTACGTGTTTACAAACGTTATATAAAATTATGACATCCTGCATATCTGAACTAATATATGAACACATTGCCGAAAATAAATGTCTAGCCGAACAACAGAAAGGATGTAGAAAATTTAGTCAAGGATGCAAAGAACAATTAATTATAGATTCTGTGGTCTTAAAACAAGCCTTAAAGTCAAAATCTAATTTATTTTCTATGTACATTGACTATAAAAAAGCTTATGATTCTGTCCCTCATTCATGGTTAACAAAAGTACTAGAAATATACAAAATACATCCAAAAATAATTACCCTTTTAAAGACGGCAATGAAAAATTGGACCACTCAATTAAAAATACCCACATCATCTACAACAATAGAGACGCAACCCATTAAAATTCAACGAGGTATCTTTCAAGGTGATGCACTAAGCCCTCTGTGGTTCTGCCTTGCCCTAAATCCCCTTTCAAATATATTAAATTCAACACAATTAGGATTTCATATTCAAGAAAAAAGTATTAATGGACATCCAGAACCTAACGAAACCATAAATCATTTACTTTACATGGATGACATAAAGCTTTATGCCAGTAGTGAAAATGATCTCATTCAACTAGCTACCCTCACTGAACAGTTTACAAAAGATATTAAAATGGAATTCGGTATAGACAAATGTAGAATAAATTCAATTAAATGTGGGCAGTATTTTCAACACCACTATACAATGACTACAGAAGAACAAATCGAACCACTAGAAGAACAGGAAACATACAAATATTTAGGGTACAATCAGGCACGCCAAATTCAATATAAGGAAATTAAGCAACAATTAAAACAACAGTTTCGTCACAGACTCA